ACGTATTTTAATGAAGTCATTATCATTATTAATCAAGGGCAAGACGAATGATGTTGACAAATAATCAGTAAACAATTTTTTGAATCGACTAAAGATATACCTTGGTGGATAACTGTAATGGAAAAGTAAAGAGATAAACGTTCGAACGAGACAAGAAAACTGACCCGTTGTAAAGTAGCATGAGGGTGAACCTTTTATTGAACTTCGTTCTTCATCAAAGGCTTGTAATGTAGATGAATAACGTATTGCCTCATCACAGATACGTTTCTCATTGTTCATCTTTTTCAAAAGCATCCCAATTCTGAAACTGAACTGAGAAAACCATCGGAATATCTACTTAATTATTGTTTAAGCATATAGATGAAAATTTAAAACATTTCTTATCTATTAAATCCAATTAAATCGCTAAAACTAAATAATAAAATCGGGAACCCTATGATCTTATTAAATTTTTCAAAAAGCGAGGAACTACTCCTAAACTGAAGTGCAGTGTGCAATTTTTGCTTTCTAAGAATTCATATCAGTAAACAGTCTAAAAATGTCGCGTAGGACATACTATAAAAGAATGCAGATTATATTCATCGTCACTATGCGTACCACTTTTTTGTTTTATTATTTAAAAACGCTTCAAAAAAGGCACCTTTCATGCCTACTAGTTTTAATTTCTTTACAGATACTTAAAGATTGGAACACTGGAAACAACTATAACAGTTTATAATGAAGAAAATTTAACAAATACTTAAACTGATGTCGCTCATGGTCCAAAAAGTGAGAAATTCTTTATCATCTTCTGATTAGTGATAAAGATCATATTACTTTTTTCTGAAAGGTTAATCTGTCGTAAAATTTTATGAAATGATTTATTTGGAGATTATCTCAGTATGGTCGGAGCATTCTCAGACTGTCAGAAAAAATATTTCCTTTATATATTTGTTTGCTAAGAAAAGTAGTATTCAATGAAAGAAAGATGAACTGAGATAGAAGTGTAGACCTATAAGAGAAAATTTGTCATTTTTCCAACTAGTTTATATTTATGTCTTTTCGTCAGATTAACTTATGTTTTAATGGAATAGTATGTTTGTAACAACGAATACAACTGATTTGAACTCCCAATATGAATGGAAAACATGAATGGATTCACTTTTCTCATACATTGATCCAGAAATCAATTGTAAATATCTCAATACGATGAACTGATTAGCTAGCTCTATTCAAAGATGGTAAATCACTTGTTCTTTCCTGGTAAATTCTGTCATTTTCCATCGAAAGCTCGAAAATTAATCAACAGTAAATTATATTTTGTATAAAAATCTCGCTATGTTCTTTGTAGCAGTTTTATACTCAACTTTCTCGTCTTTTCTTCAAGTTTCTTGCAGAATTACGTTGTTTGATGAAAGCATCAATGGTCACGTTATCTATATTTATTTAGATTGATGTGAACTGTGTCACAACATTAGCACTAATTCTTATGAAAACCAGTGATTGGAAGAAATATCGTCTTACATTTTGACAACGTTTATTCGATTTACATATATGTTCGTCAAATAATCCAAACGAAAAAGCAAAATATATTCTACCAAACACAATAATTAAATTATTGGTTTCTATTTTGTTTTTCTGCTATGATTGTTTTAGAGTCGCGTCAAAAGCATCGAAACCATTCTCGGTATATAAAACATATTTTATATTTTTTGAACTTACCAAGAGATTTTTTTCTATTCATGTTTAAAGTAGTTCTTATTCAGCGTTTTAACGTTCAATTAGAATAACGTTTTATATTTTTCAGCATGTTTTTGACGAATTAACAACCATTCAGCTAGTGCTGGAATAGTCGTCGCTTCGGGTAACTGTTATACATCACAGCTTAGTTGAGGATAGAAAATTTTCATGTATCCACGGTCGTTATAGGTACTCGTGTTATTGTTGTATTAAAAAACACACAAAAATCTACAGAAAAATGATTTTATGTGAAGACAACCCATTTCGGGCTATTTTCACTTAAAAAGTTCATAACTAGGCCGAAAATTGATCAGAACGACTTAAAAACTTCAGAAGAACTTCTGTATTATACACATGATTCTCAAAATCAGTATAAATTCAACATGTACTTATGGTCACTGAAATTTTTATCGAATCAAGAGAAAGTGACACATCGATGAATATGTACTCGAATTATACATTTTCATTACAATATGTTGGCTAGTTACAATTTTCTGATTAACGTTTCAAACTGCTTGGTTGACATAGATACGTCTTTGGTAGAAATGATTAGTGATATGATATTAGGGATAAAACAAATCTATCAAGTTATATTTGTAGAGCAATATGGTCGATACATTATTGGCCTCAATTGGGAAAGATAGATTTAGCTTGCTTGATAATCTTGTGACTAAAAGATCGACTTATTTTCTTGACACAAAAATAACTTATCATCTTCTTTTGATCAAATGTAATCGTCAAATGTCATCGTTACTGGGATGTTCATGTTCTTCTTCGTCATTCTCTGCCATTCTGTTCTCTGAAGATGCATGACTTTGTGGATTGACAGCACACTGAATTAAGAAATAGAAAATCCATATCTCCTATCGTATTGTAGACCAATGATCACCTGAGATTCATCTTGGTTCTCGCTGAACTTAGTAGATAAAGTGCAGACTGCCACCATGATCAGCAGCCCAATTTTTATGTGTGTTACCCAATGAGAAAGAAGACGAGAAATTCAATGTACTTATATGAGACTCAATAAACTGATCTGACAATAGGAGATTAGCCAGCAGCTAGATTCTCGCATAAATCAAAGCGAAACAGTGTCTAGCTTACACGATTTAATTGGCAAAAATCATTTGAGTATGCTGAACAAATAAGAGAAGATTCTGAACTAGCTATTGGCTCTCAATCGCTATAATTTATTTCGATTTGTATGACAAAAAGGATTGGTTTTGTTGAAATCGTTTAGCAAGAAGAAGATTGGTGTTTCAACGGTTTTCTTTCCACTACTTACAGGGAATAAATACTTCGTAAACGTGTTCTTTTCCTTTAGACTCATCAAACTAGAGATGGATTACGATTATGAACTAGTGGCTTCATTCCAATTCAGAGAGCAAAATCTTAGTTATTAATGAGGCTGTTCTTACCTTGCACATCCGTGAGTCATCGCCGTTTAATGGTTGTTGAATATCACTGGAGTCGTCACTGACTTGTGATGACAGAGATTGTGCATATTTCATCGATTTTTTATTTTCTGGGAGAAAATGTCAACATGTTGCAAATAGTACAGTTCTATAGAGCTTTTCACGGTCTATCATTCTGTTACTTTAGAAAAGTCTTCTTAATGAGCTTTGTAGGGTTTTTGGCAGTAAAAATCCTTGTAATTTAAGCCAACAACTGGAATTTTGTCAGTCTCGCGGAACCACGAAAAGAAGACTAAGTCAAATCTTTCGGACATGAAACAGTAGCTTAGAGATGGATATATTGAATGCCGAAAGAATAAACTCAATCGACCCTTGTAAATGCGAGTTATAGGGATCTCAAAAATTGAGATTTCTAGACAATCGGAACTTTGACTTCTTATAACCTCTGACAGAACCGTCCGATTTGATTACGCTTGTAATTGTGCAATCCTTGCATAATAAAAGTGACTTCATGTAACACTTCACCCGTTTAATACACTAGTGGAATTTCTCGCACATCCTGCATGTCATGCTACTTTTAAACGCACAAATTTGCGAAAAAAACATCAATTACCGCAATCGTACTCGCAGTTCATTGTGCGTCAAGAATACACGACCATCCTGTTGCGTTTCAGAAGCGAAATAATTTAATAGGATCACTGACACAATCTTACATAATTCTGCTATTTTTCTCCACGTAGCGAGAATCTAACAATCTTGACAGTAAAAATTTCTGACAAGATCGCATTCACATTGCGGTAAGAATAGAGCGTGAATGCGACTATGGTAAGTGTACAACATTGTGCACTCCTAACAGTGTCACTTAATCCTGTGTAACATATCCTTTTTTGCGAAAACAGAAAAGTGAAAAATAGTTACGATACGTTTTTACATGGGAAGTATAAATGTGAGCTTGACACTTTAACAAGAACACTTTAATAACAAGAAATCAAGAAGAGAAGACAGACAGCTAATAAAAACTAATCAGTTCAAGCATCCTTCAGGTTATTGCACTACACAGTTTATCTGTTAAAATTAGGGTTAGATTTTAGAATAAATGATTATTTATGTCTGCAGAAGTAATTACTATTCTTGGGCCATGTGCAAATGTGATCGTTTTCGACTTGAGCATAAACATCCTATAAACAAACAAACAATTGCGTACTTTTCAAATTAAGAAGTGAAAGTGACGAAGTTTCTAAATTAATATACGTTTTACATTTTTAAATATACCAAGAGTACTAATACGTACTCATTTCTAAAAAGAAATTTTATCAATGGAAATACTGTAAGAATACGTATAATCGTACAAAAATAGTGAATGTTAATCTTTACGTTTTTCACGAACTTTTTCAATTTTTTGTTAGCATTGATCGTTCTATTATTTTGTTTTTATACATTATGTGACTCCGAGAAACATAATATTGAATTTTTCTTGTGGGCAGAATTTCATCGAAAGTTCCTACGAGATTCTCGACTAGGGTAGAAAACACGCTAAAAACTAGTTTGGTTGTTCTGCAGAATTTTATTGAACAAGTAAACGCCTCGTCTTACTTCAAACACCGATCCATCCGAATGGTCTCAAAGCCAAGCCTATCAAAACGTTCATCAAGTCTGGACTCGGACTTGCCTATCTATGTATGTCTTGGAGCATAAGTATTCTTCCCACTATACGTTCATCTTCAGATTGTATCGTTGCCACAAACAATAGAAAATGCTCAAAAATCCTGCGATTTTGTTTACAAAATAAGCTTATAAAAGAAAGCACATGTATAAAAATTTATTGCAAGTATAAATATGAGAAAAGACAAAAACGATGATAGACCACTGTTATTTTTCAGGCACTTTGGTTCCTTCTTCTATCGGAAAACCTAATTGTTTCCACATTGCTAATTTATCCCATTCTTTAATAAATTCAACTATTTTATTATTATCATCTAATTTAAATAGTCCAGCTGCTGTCCATTTTGCATGCCGACCACTCGCTTTAATACCTGAAAACAATCGTTTAATGTAGAGCTATGTTATACTCTGTGAAAGTGTTTCATACATACTCTTGTACGCTTCTCCATCGTGACTACCTTCAGCTGAATATCTCAATGCTACTTGATTGTCTTTTGCTACCATGTAATCGAAATTAATTATATGTAAGTTATTTATACTTTTCATTAATTCTAGAATAAAAGAATTCAGAAATGTTTCGAGTTTTTATTTAACCATCATTTTAATCATACTTCCATGTTCTTCAGCGTACGTTTCACAATCATTAACATCTGGAAATGTCGTGGGAGCAATAAATCGATTCTGCTTTGCCAATAAATGTTCAACATTTTTAGCTGTTGCACGTTTTGGATCGTAACTAAAAGGTACAATCGCTAAAATTATGACTCGACAAACAGCGTATCAAAACTTAATTACCTTATTTCCATGTATTCTTTAACAATACGAATATTACATTGTTCTTTTTCTGTTTGAGATGATGAGGAACACATTGTGATATTATAATCTGAAATACTAAACACAATCCCATACTTAACTGATGCAGACTTTTCAACAGACTTTGCGCATGATGTGGAAATATTATCCTTGTCTGTATGTGAATGGATGCGTGATAATATAAATAGTGCACATGTAAATACTTGTTGAAGAATCATCATGCACTCTTATGGTAGTATAGACTACAGGATATTTTCGTGAAGTTCGTACGATGTTACACACGAGTCGTGTATAACCTCGTATATTGCGTGTATCACGTCGTACTCACAAATCGTGAGTACAACCTAAAACGTTTTTTAATCGAAAGATCTATGAGCACAATAAACAGACATCGATCTGAAAAACCTTCTTAACATCAGCATCACCCTATAAAAAAAGATTAATATGGCAGAGCCTACTAACAAGCCTGCACATTCAGTTCCAGCAGGCAAAATTCTCACGAGTAGGCCTGTGCAGGTCTGCAGGGAACATCGTGGCAGACCTGCAGCAGACACTGTCACATATCTCTGCAGAAAATGCAGCCTCTGTTGCAGGTCTTCTGCACAGGCCTACTTGTGAGAATTTTGCCTGCTGGAACTGAATGTGCAGGCTTGTTAGCAGGCTCTGCCATAATAATCTTTTTTATAGAGCATAAAAAAATCGAAGGTCAACATTCTGAGTTTTACATTTAGACGTCAGTGGGATCAGTCAAAGTTTGCGTAGAGAAAATATCATCTACATTCTCTGTTAGCATCCCTGGTAAACGTATTTGAGTCAAGTACTTGCGTAAGTACTTAGGTTAAGCAATGAGGATAGTACATGTGGACTTTTCCAAGTAAATTTACGTGAAAAACTTCCGTCAAATACTTATTTCATTTATTTTTATTTTGTATTTTTGTACGTATTCTACAGTCATACTCTACTTTTGAAAACGTTAGCATTGTGCTACATATACCGCCTCGAATGGATCATGTTCTCGAACAAACGACGGGTAAAATATGATCATTGCAATGATATCTGCAGAGACTGAAGAAACAGTCTTCAACTAATAAAATCGCAGTCCACATAGAAAAAAAGTGAATACGTTGAAAACGCTATGTAGCACAATTATAGATCCCTCGTTTATTTCTCATAATTCTCCAGTTAAGGGCTCCCCCCTTAGGAATTCGATGTTTTCTTCGAAACCTTCGAAACTGAAGTAACCATACGGTTCAGTATCGCAAAGTATCATCTTTCAGAATCCATCTCAGTTTGCTAAAAATTCAATGTTTTTGGAGGATTTTGAAAGAGATTTCTAAAAGCCCTAAAAATCACCGTTTTCTAAATTTCACGTTTTAATTAAAAGTTTTAAGATGGTCCGTTGTAACAGACATGGAGCTATGTTGAATAGAGTGTTCTGATCAGAATGAAATGTCCAGCAGATTTGTACGACTTTGTCTTGCAGAGTTATACCAGTTTTGCTAAAGACGGCGAACTATAATTAATGAAGTGATGACGTTTTTCTCACGAGGGAACCGCCCCAGGTGCCCCGATCCGATTTCGTTCGTTCATGCATCATTCGATAGGGGGTCTCGAGTAGATAAAAAGCCTAAAAGGATATCGGCTGATGACTCTTTAAGACCCGGTTTTCTGGAAAACCAGTTTTTCAGAAACTCTAACAGAATAACCAAAACCTTTGTTAATAAGACATGATTGTAGCCCGCGAAATTCTCATAAAAATGAGACATCTCCCAGCTCTACATGACCTTTCTTTGCAAAGTTATAGAGTTTACAAGAAAAGCCCTGAATGTTCAGTGTCAACTCAAAGCTGCAGAAATCAGAAGAAATTAATTTAGGGCTTTTCTTGTAAATTCTATCACTTTGCAAAGAAAGGTCATGTAGAGCTGGAAGATGTCTCATTTTTATGAGAATTTCGCGGGCTACAATCATGTCTCATTAACAAAGGTTTTGGTTATTCTGTTAGAGTTTCTGAAAAACTGGTTTTCCAGAAAACCGGGTCTTAAAGAGTCGTCAGCCGATATCCGTTCAGGCTTTTTATCTACTCGAGACCCCCTATCGAATGATGCATGAACGAACGAAATCGGAGCGGGGCACCTGGGGCGGTTCCCTCGTCAGAACATGGTTTTAGCGGTGTAACATTGTATCAACTTCTCGACGATTCGTCGTAAAACTTCCATTTTGCTTTTATTTTAAAGCTAAGACATGTTATTTTCAGAGCTCTGACTTAAAATACGTGTAGGAAATAAACGGAAGCGAAATTCAAAAATCGCCGCGAACTAAATTTTAGATTTAGGTGTCTACTTTCATTTGAGACCATTCGCAGCTGTCTGCACCTTCCAACAAAAAAGCCTTTACGCTTTTGCTGAAAGCCCCATTTTGCCCTTTGTCACGCAATAACTCGGCAGCGCTTCAACGTTTCGATTTCAAATTCTTAGCATAAGGTCGTAGGACAGTAAGCATCAGTCACCGAAAGCGCCATCGAAATCAGATGTAAGATAAAAAAGTCCTCAGGGGGGCCCTTAACAGACTTTTGTTAAGTTTAAAAATAAAATGATTTGAAAGAGAATTTTATGGGCTGCATTCTGGTAGAAAGACTTTCTCACAAGTCACGTTTTTTGATTTTGAAATTTTAATTCTAAGTGGAAAAGGTGAAAATTTTGAAAAAGCAAATTTCTAACACCTAAATGGAAGTTGAAGTTTTTTGCAACTATACTACTCAGCACAGCAGAGAAAACTACATCGAGCAGCAGTACTGTAACCAAACTATGGAATTGTTTCAATCTTTTAGAACAATTTACCCAAATCTCTCCTTCACGACATCTATTTAAATTCCATTTTTCGACTATTTAGCGTTTGTCTCAAAACTTTTCAATATGATAGGATCTTTTTCGACTACGATTAACTCCCCTAAAAACTACTGGATAAAGAGAAACGTTAAGGCTTATCAAACAGACTCAACCACAACTCATCGATTACTTATAGTAAAAAGGCGTACATATGTAAAAAGGGGTATATATGTCAACTAATTTTGACCCGACGTTTTGCCAAAACTTGAAAATTTATTCAGAAGGTCAAAATTTCGTGGATATATGAAGTTTTATGCGCTCTATCGAACGAAACTAACATTTTATTATTAAAAAATAAATTTTAATTTTGTCAAAATTTCAATAAAACGCATATGTCTCCATGGGGACACGTTTCCGCCTTGTGAAGCGCTGAGATCCGAGTAGAAGTCAAAATTCTCAGTGTATACAGAAATTTTCATTATATCCTTTGGGAGTCGCCTTACACCGATCTCAAAATATTCTAAAGATTGGATACATTTTTTATACAAGCACGTGACAGTATATAATAGGGTCATGCTCCACGTGGAAAAGAGAAAACAAAATTATGTTCTCTTTTCGTTTTCTATATATTCTATATTCTATACTTAATTTTTAATTATGAAAGGCTTTTTATTCAAAATGAACTTCTTATTCGTGATCCAGAGAAAACAGGAAAAGAACGTCACATCTTGTGTTTCCCAGGACATTGAAAACTGCCAATAAGTGTCTGCCATTCACAAAAATTCTCACTCCAGGTAAATCATAGAGAGCTCGGGTCGGTTTTGTTTTGCAATAAACATCTGTGGCTAGGAGTTGACAGAGCCCGATTTTTGAATTTCTCATTTACTGATTACTGGTGCCTAATGCAATTTTAAAATCCGAAAAATCCTTGGAAGGTTTCTTAGAAATCCTCATTTCTGTAAAAAACGGAAGCATAATTTAAAAATCGGACTCTGTCAACTCCTAGCAGTCATAAGAAAAACGCAAAATAAGTTCTGATTCTGTTAAACGAGTTTTACTTAAAAATTGTTTGAGCGTTAAATAATTTGTTGATATTTTGCTACAGGTTATCGGTCATGGCGGATCTAATGAACACGGGCGCGACCACATGCGGCACATGCATGCGCTTATGCAATAAAAGTGCAAAAAAGCCAAATTTTATTGCTATGGGGCTTCTGGAAAACTCGCTCAAAAGCTATGAAAAACCTATCCTATCGACACAAAAATTATATCATTAGAAAGTTTGGCCTATCCAACCATGTGCTTTTTTCAAAATCAATATTATTGCGGAAAATCGGCATTTCTGACCCGGGGGAGAGGGGGCCTCAACAGGCAGTTTACTGGCCGTTTTTAGACCGTTCAGACAGTTTTTAGATGGTTTCGATGATATGGTGAAGTTTGACCTTAAAAGACGGTTTACTGGCTGTAAATAGGCAGTTTTCAAACAGTTTGAATTACTACTTACGGCGGTAAAACGATCTACGTAAAATAGACGGTTTTTAGGCAGTTAACTGTCAGTAAATGGTTTAAAAACGACCAGTAAACCGTCAACAGAAAAGAAAGAATAAAAGAGTAATAATGTCAGATGTACGGACTGAACCTATGTTTGACACATTAGTATTCTATCACCCTAATCACACTCTAAAAAACGGTATCCTATAAAACTAAAAACAGGATATCGGCATTTGTTACTAATAAGAACCAACTTCCCTATCTTAGAACACCTACTTTTGGTTTTCTAGGTTACGTTTACCGGTATTTAAACTTAATGTTCTTTTTATATCGCTGGTACTAAATCAAATTCAGCTGCTTCGTTTAACCACCTACTTACAGCTTATTTACAACCAGTTAACTGTCATTTTCTTTCAAAAACAAAACTAATAGCAA